CTTGAAGGAATCGGAGACTGATTTGTGCCCTGGAGGCAGGACACCTGCATGTAGGAGGTTTGGAGGGAGAAGGGCATCCCAGCGAGAGGCAGTGGCATGGGCAAGCGCTTTGAGATGAGACTGGAGTGTCAGTAGATTTATCAGAGCGCTGTGTGGATTTGTGCTGGTCTGGTGTGGCAGGACCAGCGAGTCCAAGACCACAAAGGCTGGCAGAGCAGGTGTCCTGACTTGGCGATTGGAATCATGGGAGATACCTGCATGCCAAGGCTAGAGAATTGTTGTAACAGATAAGGAACTAGCCAGAGAACAGAGAAGACTATTCCACAGACTTCAGAATCAATTCTTAAATAATTTAAGAGTGGAAACTAATGTGGAGGACAAATTAAAACAGTTAACACGTATCTTTTTTTTGGGTGGAAAAGGGTTCAAAGCATATGATCTATTATTAATAGCATGAAGTAGGAAATAATAAAAATGGTCTTTGGAGATTAAAATATAGGAAATGGCTGGTCTAGTGAAATAAAAGAATGGTAAACATTGACTGTAATGACATACTTGAATTGCTGCCCGGGAAGAGAGTCGCGGTCCCAGTGGGTATTTAGTCTACATTTAGCAGCCCGGTGCCTGGATCTTGAAAATAACATAGACTTTGGTATCAAACGTATCTGTGCAGTGTTCACAATCAACAGAATCAGATTTCAAATAATCACAAGCCACAGCTTCTGAGGCATGACCCCCTCTTTAGGGCCCCCGCTCTGTGGGTGGAGGCTGAACCCCTCTGTCCGCCTATGCTTCTCCCCACAGGCTCTCTGGGGTCCCGGGGAGGGGGCTGCATGCAGCCAGCCACATTTGTCCCCTGTAGAGGCTGGACATGGGTGGGTGGGTAGGGGTGCAGTTATGAATAGCTCCTAAGAACAATGGATACCATGGGAATGCTTCAGGAGCATCGAATATAAAAAAAGGAAGCCAGAAATTAAAGGTGAAAAACAAATGGATAAAAAATAGGTTGTTCTCTCTCTCACTCACTCATATAAAATCTATACCTCCCCTTCTCCCCACACCCAGGCAGACACAAAGCAATATTTGCATTACAGTACCAAGTAACAAAAGCAGATCACAGAACAATACCTAAAAGACAATTCCGTGCTTTTATTGATAAAAATGACAAATTACTGGCAGTTTCATGCTAATACATGTGTTAATTATATGTGTGTGTATTATATATATATTAAATCATAGGGGAAAAACCTAGACTTGTCTATACAACTTAACAGTGGTTATCTCTTGGTGGTGGAATTAAGTTGTGTTTTGTTTTTTTGTTTCCTTTGTGCTTGACTGTATTTTTTAGTTTGGATGCAATAGCTACCTAGTAACCATAAATAATAAAAATGATTTTCAAAGAAAACATGACAATTTAAAACACTATTAAGATTTTTTTAAGACACTTTTGCATCTTTAACTTATAAATACACAAAAAGATGATAAGACTGAATGATAATTACTTAGCACCAATTTCTATTTACCCAGAAGGTACTTCTCAGTATGTTAGACCCTGGGAAAACTGTTGTGATTTTCTGAACTGCAGCTCAAAATTGCAATATTTCTCTGCCTGCAGTATATAGAAGGGACCCTTCTGGGATCATCTGTATACCATAGTTACCCCAAGGCCCCTTAGGGAGGCAGAGACTAACTAAAGTTGACCACTCAGAGTCCCAGATTTGTTGCCAGGGAATGATCATAATCACAAAAACACAAACCCCAATTAATCAGGATCTCTTGGAGTGGGGCCCAAGCATGGGTATTCATTTAAAAAAGCTCCCCAGGTAATTCTGATATGCAGCCAGCATTAAGAACCATGGCCCTAATGGATTAATTTACTAAGGGGTCATTTGAACTTGGCCTTTGGAGAGAGGTAAAATTAAAGCAGAGAGGATTTGGTTGACCAAGGCCAAGTTGTTGCATGGCCCTGAGCTTGGGGAGAAAATGATTATGCAAACAGAATAAAAGAACATTAAGCGTGGAGTCGGCAGTTCTTGCAAAGTTAGTGAGGTCAGTGGGTAGCCCTCTCTTGCATTCATAGTAGAACAATCTCAAATCAGAGATTTCTAGGTGGGAAAATGCTCTCTGGTAGCAGCTTGCTGTCAAGGTGCTGTTATTTCACAAAATACAACAGAACCCAATTTCGATGGGGATGCCAGGGGCCCAGAGGCTTCCGGCCTTTTCCATACACGGATGCTGATACACAAGATGTGCTGGAGCTTAACATGACAAATCCCATAGTAGGAAAGTGGCCCTTTGATAATTTTTACTCTGCTTTAGGAAATCATTTTGAATGAATTTCTCTGGAACATCGTTGGTGGCTGTTCTGCAGATTGACAGTGGCTGAAAGCACAGAGGAGCCCTGCCCTTCTTAAGTTTCATCTTGCCTTGGTCTCAAAATAACAGAGGCCAAAACTGGACATATGTTTAACTTCCATTCAAATAGCCCCGAAATTCACTAGAATTTCTGATTGGGGGGCTGGGGGGGAGGTTGACTTGTTGCCAAGCAACAGCACAAATAGGCATTTTTTAATTCTGATAACCATGACCATCATCATCATCAGAACGTGTTGGAATTATATCATTAGCTACCATTTATTGCATTTATTGCTGCCAAACAGGTGCCGGCTCTGTGCTGCATGGCTTTACATTTATCATGCTTAGTCCTCAGTAGCAACCTTCATGGGCACTTTTATTCCCCATTTTGCTATAGAGAACACTGAGGTCACCCAGACGGGATGTGGACAATTCAAGATCTAAATCCAATTCTGACCCCGAGAGTCTGCACTAACTCCACATTGCCAGTAATAGTGGCCCAAGAGCTGGGCCAGAGGGGCAACGCTGCATTTCTGTCCCACGTACCCTTGTCGCCTGATTCTCTGTCTCAGGACCATGGCACTGGGTTTTCCAGCCTCATTCACTCTCTTCCTTCAGAGCTGTCCCCGATAGAGCTCTACCACTCTGATTTTTTCATAGCCTGGCTGTATTAGATTTATTTTTCTGGGCAGTAGTTATACATCTCACCTGTTTTTAATGGAGTTTCATTTTGCTACCCAGCATAATCTTCGTTCCTGTGGTTTAGAAGGAAGAAAATACTGTTAGGCGCAGTCAGAGTTCTAAACAGATGTTCTGCCCGTCTCCTTGTGTAGTTACAGCAATGCATCACTCCCAGACATCTGAGCCTTGGCCTGCCACCATCCCTGAGCCCATGCCAAATGCCTTCAGATACCATGCAATAAGCAAAAGCTGAAGTTAGGTTAAAGCCACCAAAGTCATTTTATCCTAATTCTCCAACGCATTAGCATCTGGACTTTGGGAGGGACCACCTGCTCTCAGGAAAACTAATGGCATTGAATTTGTGCAGTAAGGCGGAATACAAGTGTTCTCTGTTTTAAGAAACCTGACCGTGTAAAAAATCTGAATATGATCCTATCAACATGAACAAATTATTGTCCTTTATGAGGATTTCTCATTTGAAAGAAAGATTTGCCAGAAATGACTTTGCCTTCTCACTTTTCACTTCCATTTGAAGAAAATGGTGACCTGTTTGCAAGCGCATGATTTACACACAACTTTCGAAAGCGACTTCCGTAAGGAATCATATGGCAAAACACACAAAAGCTGTATTTATTAATAAAACACACTGCATTTATATACTGCAGAGGCATTCTGTGAAAATCGGTGTTAAATGCAGGCATGGGTTAGGGTATGAAAGATTTTGTGGAGAACTCAGAATATAGCTGCGTTTATCTGCCTGGGAGAGGTTAGGGTGCAGCCAGTCAGATAATATTTATGAAGTTCTCAAATGTGTACTGAGCTAGATTTGCTTCAGTTGAAAACATAATCCGAAAGGACAGTGTCGCCTAGCAAGGCTCACCTTCAGGCAGACAGAGAAGGGGGCCGCACAAGGTCCCCCCACCATTGTGTGATTCTGTGAGTGATTAGCTACAGCCTTGTAGTGTGACAGTGCACCGTCTAAACTGTAAGGAGGGGCCGAGGAGAGGGATGGAACACCATGTGAAGCTTCTAGAATCTTGGTGTGGCATCAGAAGGGCGGCCTTCCCAGGTTTCTGCATCGTGGTGGAGTTGCGTTGGCCTGAGATGGAACCAGGGCAGGGGGACAGAGAGCAGGGGATTGTGGTATTAACACCAAGTAAGCCACAGGAGCCAAGTCTCCAGTGACCTGCAAGATTAGATTATTTGGTGATGGGGAGTTGGGACAGGAGTGAGTAGGTGGAGGGTGATAAAAAGGGTATTGATGAAAATGCCCCAGCTAAGCTCTGACCTCTGCAGCCTTGCTAACTGTCTTTTTCTCTTGTCTACCTCATCTGACCAGTGCCCTGCTAAGTACTATGGTTATAAAATAACACCTTTTCCATCAAGAGAGATGGCACAGATTTTAGCAGATAATGGAGATGTGAAACAAAAAAGTGTTGTTGTTTTTTTAAAGACAAAACTCCTACGTGCCCACAACCCACACCCATACCCGAGGAGAGTGGATAAACAGGCAGGGTTTGGAACTTTTTCATCCAAGCCATCATTACTGCAGAGCAAGGCAGGATCCCTTTAAATATTTATTCATGGGTTCATTTTGCTATCGTCATATATAGTGAAATGATATTCCTTACCTGAGCAGGCTTCTGGCTGTATATAAAAGAGGGGCAGGCTGCAAGCTCACCACTCTCATCGTGCTGATAAAAATCTAACAAGTGCAACAGAGAGAAATGCTAGTAAACCAGAGGGAAAATAATTTTTTTAAAAATGAAATAACCATCCTGGCACAATATTTCAAAAGAGCAAACTAAAAAGTTAGAGTGAAAAAGAAAACCATGGAAAACATCATCCACAAAAATAGAGGAAATGTTTTATTTATAGAGGTGGATATAAAGTGATACAGGAAATAGATCTGCTCCATGTAAATTTATTAAATGCAACTTTCTTTTTCTCTTTCTTTCTTTTAGATAAAAAACCTCTTCATGAAATAAAACCCCAAAGTAAGTTATTTTTCCTCTTGTGCATATAATTTATTCTCATATTTGCTGCCTTGCTGTGGTATTTGTTTGGGAGCCAAGCAGAACTGAAGTTCCTATGAAAGACCCAGGGCTTTTGGGGCTTCTGCTCATTGAGTTTGGAGCCACATATCAGAGGTTTAAATCGAAAAGAAATATGCACACCCCTCCCCTCCCTCACAGGAAAAGTAAATCTCTCCTCTTGATTCTTTCTGCCTATAAGTCCATTTCTCTGCAAATGTCATCTAAGATTCTTATTTCTGAAGAGATGTGTAGCATTAAAATTAATAAATATTTGTCATTACATGCTTTCCTGAGAGCAGCCTTGGGCACAAGCCTCTCTACCTAGGAGGAGGAGGGGGTGTGCCTGAGAGCACAAACCCAGAATCTTGCCTCCGGTGGAATCCATGGCAACTCGGTACGTTAGGTTGCGGAATCCACAGTGAAATAATTATGAACTGAGAATTTTGGCGTCAGGGCTGCCTTAAGCTCCCTGTACTCCCGGAGAGGCCTTGGCATTGTCTGCATTTTATGCATCCTGTAGATTGGGAGAAAGGACCTTGAAAGTTCAGCCGCTTGGCATTGGACCCCGTGGTTCTTAGCCTTGACCACACTTTAGAATCACCTGGAGGCTTTTTAAAAATCCCAGTTCCCTGGCTGTACCAATGACATCAGAATTGGGGGGCAGGGGTTTTTTAGAACCCAGGCATCTCTATTTTTTCAAAACTCCTCAGGTGATTCCCATGTGCAGCTAAGGCTGAGAACCATGGGCTTAGAAAAATATCTCACAAAATGTGGCTCAGAGTCCAGACGCATCAGAATCTTGGGGTGCGGTAGGAGCTTGTTAAATGTGCAGCATCTCAGAACAGAACAAGTCAGTTAGAATTCCTGGGGGGAAGCTCCTAAGAATCCACATGTTAATATGTTCCCCAAGTGATTCTCGCACATTCAGAACTATGTAAAACATACGAGGGCAACCTCGAGATATAACAGCAATACTGCTCTTCCCAACAGGAGATTAGACAACTCCCTGGCTGGTTTGGTTTGTAAAGCTTGTGAAAGATGTCTCTGCTCCGTATCTCTCATTCTAGCGTGAAATGAATGACGTTTGCTCTTTTAAATCCTGGGGTATTAAAATTCAAAGAGCTTGAGAGAGTTAATAGCCTTGATGAGCTAACTTCTTTGGAAGAATTAAAACCCTGTGGGGATAGACAGAAATAGGTACCTTGGGACAGAGGTCAGGAGACATGAGAGAAAGATCTGGTAAAGCCATTCTGTTCACACTTCCTTATGATGCTTCAGGCAGGCTGGAGATATAAAGATGTCGTTGCTCGTGGAGTCTGAGAGTTTTGTGAAATAACAAAAATAAGCTGTGTGGTGACCATCAAGGAATCACTGTGCTTAGGTAGCTGACCTCTGACATCATGCATGTTTAACTTCGAACTCATAGGAAGATTGAGGTCAGGAGGCCTGGCTATGTACGTGTGTGTTTGTGTGTATATGTATATAGATGTTAAGGGAAGAGAGAAACAGGTCACTGAGTAATTTGTCCTGTGCCTTTGTCAAGAGCCTCAGGGTGACACAGGAGTTAGTGGACCCTTGACCGCCTCCTGGTCACGTGATACACGCCAGCCGCCAGTTCTAGCGTGTAGCACAAGCAGAATCATAGGTATCCGTGTGGTGGCCAGTATGAGAGTTACTTAGAAATGCATGTGTGTGTTTTTAAAATTAATCTCACGCTCAGTTTGTGAGTCCTGTGCCATTCTAATTTGGTTACATCTGTACTTCCAGCCATAAACCCCACAGAAGCTATTTCTGGTCCCTAGGGACTCCTGAATTAGTTTTCGCCTGGGGTTCTCGCTCCTGAGCACCATGCTTAATTGCTGGATACTGCAACGGAATCGCTTAAACTGTTTTAATTTGTGATTTCCCTAAAAATAAAACCTTAACAGAATCAATGTGATTGCAGAAGGCTCCCAGAGGAATTCGTTCAGGGGTTGTGTAAGCTGCATGGTTAGGAGTGCATCATACAAATTCAGGCTGCAGTTGTTCAGTGAGAGAGGGGCTTAGTTTAAGGCTACATGAATCATCACTGATGCAAAATCAAAGTCAATTATGAAGATAATTGAGAAACCTGTTCCTATATATAGCTGTACACACGCTCCTCCAAGAGGCCTGGTGGATGGAAAACATCACTCGGCCCCTCGCACACATTCCTCCGCGAGCAGGCAGAGCAGCCAGCTTTGAGTTGCAGGGAGGTGTAAAAAGAAAGTGAAGTCTTAAGATATGTGTTGGCAAATCATAACGACAAACTGGGGAAAATATGTGCACTGCATAGTTCATGAAAGCACTTATTGTAAATGAGATAATTTAATCAATTACGTTTCCTAATGTACTAAACCGAATGTTTCATTTTCTACTTCTGCACATCTTAAATTATCTTCAGGTGCTTTATGAGATTTAATCATAGTTAATAGAAACTTCATTACCATCAAATGTGCTTTCAATAAATGTTGTGTAACAATGTCAGGAGGTGCAGTAAAATATAGTAGGTTCTGAATGGCAAACACGCACCCCCAGAGTCAGACTGAAAAATGGTTGTGTTCAGACAATGAGACTCCTCGGAGGCTTGGAGAATGTGGTTTTCTGAAAGGCTGTGAGCTTCTGAGGAGTGGCGGGTTCTGTAAGTTCACCTGAAGGGTGGAAAGCATTTAGCTTTTCCTAGAAAATAACTTAACGCTACATATTCTCTCTTCATCTCCTGCCCACGTAGTTGTTTTGTACCTAGCAAAGATGAATGCTCAGCATGACTCCAATTAATAGTTCTAGAATTGGCTACTTCCAGGACATCTCCAGTTGAATATCTCCCAATAACCTTAATCTCAACTTCTTCAGAATTGAAAATATCTTTCCGCCTGTCTGTCCTGAATCCATTTCTCTTTCCATCTTCTCTGATGGAGTTAACAGTATCCCATCAACTCACTTGTCTGGGTCAGAAACTTGGACAGCCTTCTAGATCTTTCTGTTTTCTTCACGTCCTTTCTTCTGCTTAGCACCCAATAAATCATTACAGTCTGACTGTTCTGCCACCCAGATAGGTCTTAGGTTCACCAGCTGCTGTCCATTCCACTCTACTCAAACCCATCCCGCCATTCACTCAACTGCGATTTATCGAGTGCTGACCGTGTGCCAGATGTTCTAAGTGGTGAGAGTCGGTACTGAGCAAGACACATAGAGCTTCTGCTTCCCTGAAGCTCGCAGTTTTAGTGAGGGGGGATGGGCATAAACAAACCAGAAAACGGTGCTACGTGCTCCACAGATGGTGTTAAGTGTTACGAAGAGAAACCAAGCAGGGTAAGAGGCGTAGGGCTACAGAGAGTGTTGCTTTTTGATGTAAGGTGCTCAGAGGTCTCTGTGATAAAATTATATTTGAGAAGAGATCTG